CACTATTTCCGGGTCCTTTGTAGCTGAATCAGGTTGGCCTAGGCCTACGTCCTTCTTGACAATGGATTTACCCTTTCCTTGTTTCGGTTTAGCAGATCTGGTTTCCATGTTTGATTTTCTTCTTCTTAGTTATTTTAACTATTAGGGTATGATATAACAAGTTTGGTAATTTGAGCAATTTAGGATACTTTTTCTTGAGAGCTCAATTAACACATCAGTTCAGTATGGTACGCATATCTGATGGAATGTAATTTTCAATTCATGTACACATTTTGTATTCGTATGGTTTAAAAATTTTGTTTAGGGTTGGAGATAGCTCAATATTCGGCTCACTTATCTCGTGTCTTCAAATGTAATTTTCTTACAGTAATTGTTTTGTAATTGAAAGATGAAATATACAGTATGAAATAAAATTATTAATGCGAAAATAAACCTTTCAGGCTTTAACATCAGTGCAGTGACAAACTTAGTGCGCGGTCAGGAATTGTAGAATATGAACCTAACATTCCAAATAGTAGGAGGCCTAATACAATATTTCTACACTGATTCCATTATGGTATTCCGTCTTTCTTTCGTAACTTAATTATAATAGTACAGATCTATGCACTGATAACGAAAAAAAATAGAATTATAAAAAAATCCCGAGTTGACCATAACAATAGTATGTGGAGCAAAGTAAGCCGAACAGATAGCGCACACAATGCTTGAGGTAGTTATGTCCCCCTACGCGCTTGTCAGCAGTGCATCAGGAAAGGACAAAATATTTTCAATAGTCATTTTGAAAGCATGTTGAGTATACACCTCAAGATAAGGTTATATTGACTTTTGACTCGGTTTCATTTATGCCGTGCCATTGTCAAACAATGAAGTACTGTACAATAATAACCAATAAGCTTTTGCTACATAGGCCTATTGGTTAACTTATTTCCGTGTAATTTCGATTGATATTTCGCATTAGAGAAGCAAAAAAGGAGAAAAATTACAAAAGTGCTTAGTGATAGGCTGGAAAACCCATGTCTGGTGTTATGTATCACCGGATTTTTTTTCCAGTTGGGCCAGCCTAGGAACCAGGGGAAGTATTGTACTAATCTTAGTAATAACCAAGTATGAACTTGGTCAGACTGATAAGAATAAGACATAAATATATTTTAGTTAAAAAATTGTAGTAGTACAGTAGTACAGAATAAAGATAAACACATGAAACATGTAGAATGCAAAGCAGGAATTCGATATTTTTTTCTTGTGTTCCACAATCTTTAAAATATACCAATGATATCTTCTTGCATTCAGAGAACTTATAATGTAAATATAAAATATTTCTTAGATGTCTAATAAAAGTCATCATTGAGTAAGTTGGCATTAGCTTTAATTTAATTAATGATTGTTATAATTTTCTCACATTTGCTGTCTATTTACTCTAAGTTGTTAATATCATCATGGAGGAATTAATTTAGATTCCTACATGGGACCATGATATCATATAGCATAAAAAATTAAATTCAACTTTTAGCATGTCTCTGAGTGTATTTCCCAAAAACAGAGGGAGCTCACATGTTTTAGCACTCTATGAGCTACAACTAACCAAATCGATGTTTTCCCCAGATACGAAATGGTAGGTTATCCCTGACACCAGGAAGAACCTAAAAAATAAATTTAAAACAATTTCTCACGTCATCGGTAGCCTAGTTCTCTAAACATTGTTATATGATTGGATTAACAACAGGGCTGCATTTTAGCGTTTTTAAATAACAATGGTCGCCATAGCTTTACCGATGGAACCATGAAACACGATGACTCATGATATACGGTGTTGGTTACCTCTGATTTTGTCTCTTAGTTAACTTACTTCCGTGTAGTCGATTTATTTACTGATTTATTTCTCATTTAAATCAGATTAACATTGATAAAAATGAGAAAAGTCCATAAAAGGACAAATTGAGGAGGAACTAGTTGTTGAATACCTACTGAAACGCCCAAATATAGCCTAATGCTAATCTTAAGAATTACAGTATTACCAAATAAGTGGTACAAATTGTACTAAAAAAGACGACGGTCTGGCGGGACCCGGTTTGGCGTTACGTAGCAATTTTCATTCAGGTTCTGAACCTGTCGTGGCCCGTAGTAATATATAAATATAAGCCAAATATTAAAAGCCTGTTTCATTCTGTCACACTCAATCCATTCTTTAACCGATTACAATGGTATTTATCTTTTAATTCATTATTCGTTTAACTTATATAATAATTACATAACATACACTGATAACGAAATTAAAACAATAAAAATAGGCACAAAAAAAAAACGAGTCGACCATAAAATTAGTATGTGGACCAAGATAGCTGAAACTGAGGGTGCAATCATTCCTCCTTAGTTTGAGGTAGTCAGTTGACCCAAGGTGACGTTATAATTTGCTCGCACGCGCATATATAT